TCCGTATCTCTCTTAAACGGCAGATGCACATAGACAGACTTCGCTGCTCCTATTTCCTTTGGCAGTTCCTCGTGTTCAAGAATTGCCCTATCGATAAATCGTTCGAGGTAGCCATTCCGAGCAAAAACAGTATGTAGGAACTGAAGTTCATTGCCAATAGTGTCCGTCGTGCATATTTTCACCCTTTGGACCAAACAGCGAAGTGGGTTTCTNAGAAAGACAAAACTATGGCAATGGATGTATTGTCCATTCCACGTTGCTTTGCTATGCATCGATATCTAGACGGAGCGATTGCTGCGGCATCTTATGAATATGTCTAGAAACGCTACACTATTATCCTCTTCTTTTTATGTTGGGACGGACATTATTGAACTCCTCAAGCAATCGATTAGTGTCCAAATTTGCGTCTAATATACACAACACATCATCAACATATCGTCTATATAGGGTACACCTTCTGATATAAGGCTCCAGGGGATCATTCTCTAGTTTGGCCATGAAAATGCCAGCAAATAATGGTCCTAAAGGTGACCCCATTCCTACCCCGTCCTTCTGGCGATAAAGTTCACCATTGAGTTGAAACTGGACGTTGTGCGTGCATACGAATAACAGTTGTTTCAGTTCATCTAATGGAATGCCCACATCGATCTTCCTTTGAATAAATCCATAAATGTGATTGATAGTTTCACTAATTGGCACGCTTGTGAATAAAGAAGTAAAGTCAAATGGCATCATCTGTTTGCATTCGACTGTGAGGTCCTTCCCAGTTTCTACCAGATGGAAAGTGTCTCGTAGACTGTGCTTGCAAATTGCTAGTCTCACTGGTTCCAGTACTCTTGCTAACCATTTCGCAACGGTGTGATACGGGGAGTTGCACATATCTCATGGGGACACCCTCTTTGTGTAGTTTCGGAAGTCCATGCAATCTAGGAATTGTGCTCGTTAGTCGTATTCTCTCGAACGTTTGTGCATCGATTGTTCCTTTTTGCTTCAGACATCGTAATTGCGTGGAAAGCAATTTTTCTATCTGAATAGTCTTATCCTTTTCAGTCGGAGTCTTTGTAAACTTGGATGGGTCATTCAATATCGTCCTCGTCTTATCTATGTAATCAAACCTTTTCATGATTACAATACCTGCATCTTTGTCTGGTCCTGATAACATCAATTCTCTATCGGCTTGCAACTCTCTGAGACGCTTCAGGTGTTCCAAAGTTAGCAGTCTCTGTTGACGGTTTACGATCGCGATATTGGTAACATGAGTTCACAAGTGTGGATTTAAGTTTCTCTAACTCCTGCGAAGAGGACAGCGTCAGTTCAGATAGCTGAGCAAATAAACTCAAATTCAACTTACAAATCTAACTGCTTAATCTCACTGGTTGGACAACAGAATTTTGGCCCCAAGGTAGCACTTCACGCAAGGTCCTGTCCAAATTCACAGACGACAAATTATGGACAAACCTCTTCGGA